ATCAACAGCTATTTGCAGCTAAAATGCTTACAGAAAACAAGAATGAAACTCCATTTGGCCATTGAGGACACCATGACGATATATTTCAGTTTGTTTGCTGAAGAAATAAAATCAAATATATCTTATTTGGGCGTTTGAGTCTTGAAGGGAATAATTACCTTCTAGCCAGCTAAAGAGCTCTTATCTCATGGAACAGTAAATTTGCTTTCAGCGGCCCTTAAGTAATTGCATACTTTACCTTTACGGTCGAAGAGTTAAAAAAGAATTGCATTTTACTCTCTTTAAACTTGATCTCAAATAAGTGTCATTGTTTAACTTTGCTAATAAATTAGATATTGGATATATATTTGTTTATAAAGAAAGTGTGATTTTCATTTCTACTTTTCTTGACCTGGTTGCAATTAACAACCTAAAGACTGATTAAAGACTGCAATTAAAGACTGATTTTCATCCAAAACACAAAACCACTCAAGTGTTTTTTCAGCCATTATTTCTGGTCAGCCATCTAGCGCGTCCCATTCGAGCACTTCAGTGCAATTTACGCATTAAACTCGAGTCAACATAGAATCCTTACCAAATTGGATGTGATTTTTTTCTTTTATCTATCCAGGACTTTTCTGCTAGAAATTTGAAGCTAAAAGGTACTGATCGATCATAAACATGGATAACGAAAATAAAACATGATGAAATAAAAACTGGTTTCTCCTTTTACTCGAATACGACAAAAGCGTTTTTCTTCAATTTTAATGATATTTGACACCCACAATTATTCGTGTGTTTGTTTTATTGTCTTCTTTTGCTCTTCTAATCGAGTCAGAAGCAATTTATCTTTTTTATGTTTTACATTAAGGAACGTTTTCGTTGATGAATATACTCCACACTGATGATTAAATTTACTCTCATCAGACGCCTGCCTAAACATTTTCTTTCACCGAACAGAGAAGCGATATTTTGATAACTCAAAGTGATTAAAGACTGATCAGCTTATCTCGGAACCATTTCAAATTCACTGCAGGCTGACATCACGCAAACAAAACTATAAAATTTAATTAAGGAAGACTCTACACCTGTGGCCACCAATAGCTGTTTTTACTCAAATAGAAACAAATGTATGTGATGTTTTTCTCTTCCCCAAATTAATTGAATATTTTTGTCTGCAAACCATTATTTCATCTGTGTTTTGGAAATGCTTCCTAGCTTAAGAACCAGCTCTAAACCATTTACTCTTCAAATCGGTGTTGATAATTCACTTGTTCTAAAAAAATGTTCATTTTTGTTCGGTCCATAAGGTAGTTTAGAAACAAGATTACAAGGAACAGTTAGATCCTTTTAATCACCTAAGTTTATTCTAAACTTTCCACGAATGATGAACCTCTTTTCTCTCAATACTTGTTTCCTCGAGAAAGTGTAAGAGATTGTTAAGAGAATTAACGTATGCTGAAAAGGGAATTACTCTAAAATGTAAATATAATCTAGGCAGTGTATGGTGCTTTTCAACCTCTTAACAGGAAATATACACTGAAATGATGCTGTTTTCATTTCTTTTAAAGCGCTCGACAAAGTCCATCCCTTGGCACAATTTAAATATTTTGTACGTATAGTCAATTTTTAATATCAAGTAGAGAGAATCGACAATATGCATGATATTATTTTTCTCTCCGACAAACAACCGCTTCTCATTTTCCGTATGGTGTTTTTCAGCTTTCTTAGAAAAAAAATGAAAGAAATCAAATTTCTGAACCATAAATTGCAGTGGAGAAATACTTTAGATTGAAGTTATATTTTGGTGAAAACCCAAAGCATATTCACTATCAGGAGAGACATCTGTATTATCTAGCAATACAAGAAAGAAAGACTGGCAGCTTTACAGTAAGAGCTCATAATAAAATAACTGCATAGGTTATTTATTTGTTTACGGTGCATCATTATTTCGAAAACCGTTGTTATCTTTAACAGGTAAAAAGGTTCGAGTTCGATATTTTGGGTAGTCTTGACAAAATCGAGGAGAGGCAATATTTTTTCTTCTTGAAATGATCATATCCGTTACTC